AGGATCATGGTTCAAAGCCAACAGGCTCAGGAAAGTCCATGAGAGTCTTATCAAGATTCATCTCCAATTAATCACCAGAAAACTGGAAGTGGCACTGTGGCACAAGTGGTAGAATGCTAGCCTTGAGCTGAAGAGCTGAGAGACAGCACCCAAGCCCAGGGTTCAAGCCCCTTGACCGACAAAAAAAAAAAAAAAAAAAAAAAAAAAAAAAAAATATATATATATATATATATATATATACATACATATATATGTTTTCTTTATAGTACAACTATTTGTTCAGCAAATGAATTATGTAAGTCCTAAGTAAAATTTATAGCCTAAATAATACTGGATGAAATTATAAAATCTTTCTCTAAGTATTGTGCATGTGTGTGTGTGTGTGTGTGTGTGTGTGTGTGTGTGTGTGTGTGCATAATTTCAAATTACAAATGAAACTTGTTTTATTAGATCTATTATTATCTAGGAAAGCATATAGATATTGTCTGATATTAATATGTATTTTACATTTCACTAATTATTCCAAGAAATAGTCACATCACTTACAATTGTGCTCAGGGAACCACAGGCAATGTATCCTGGATGTTTAAAATTTATAAACAAGTCCTTTTCCACCTTTTTGTAAATGGAGTTTGAAGCCAACTACTCTGAGTTTAGAAATAATTTTAGTACTATAAAATGAATGCAATCCCTTTGTTACTATCTATATTAACATTTCCTGTGTCAAGTTCACCAATAAAAGAAGGTTTGTCTAATGGGATAACAACCTGTGTTTATATAATACAGACTTCACATTTTATGATAAGATAATGAAAGGTGATTTGTATCAGGTTTCCAATTTCAGGTACATAATTGTTCTCTTATTCACCCACAGCAGGCAATTTTATCAAAGCATTCTTTATGAGAATATATTTAAATTGACATAATTGTTTTGAGATTTAGTGCCAAACCCTTCAAGTGTGGTTATGGTGAGCAAACTGTGGCTTGGCTTCTACTGGTTCAGGAAGGAGACTTTATATCTCAGATTTGTGTTTCTCCTGAAATATCTTCATTGCTATACACAAATCATTGATTAGAAACTTAATTTGGTATGATTAGCCAACATTTTCATGAGATTTCATGCAGCATTATATTTTGCACCTGCCCAATTACAGGCATAGAATTTAATTGCTCCTTTATTTGGCTGATTATTTTTTATATTTGGCTGTTTTTGCCCTCACATTGAAATTCAATTGTATGCTTAATGATACTCCTGTGAAATTTTGCTCTGTGCTGACAATTTATTGTTATAATTTAACTGCACATAGTGTGTGTGTGAAATAAAAGGTGTCTACTCCATTTACTAAGAAGTGTGAAGAGATACACTTGGTTCTAGAAATGAATTTACAGAATGAGAAATATTATTGGCAAATATTTTCAAGCCATTGCAGAATTACATTATTTGTGGGAACATACACAATTATCTAGTATTTGTATTTTGCATATCTTCTTACATGCAGGGTAAAAGCATATTGTATATAACTGCACATACTTTGGGTGAACAGTCCTTTCAACTATGCTGTTACTGCATAAAAGAAAAACATATTGCTCCAAATTAACTTGCTTTTATATTGTTCAGCACATATAGTAGAAAGAAGGTATGTTAATATGAATGCACTTTTCAAATTCCATTTCATCCCAAGCTCTGCTCCACCAGTATTGGGTTTTGTTCCATTTGTTAAGCCAGGTCAGAATGAAGACATTTGAAATTATCAACCATAGGAAAAGGTAGTAAAGCAGGGGAATGCAAGGAAAAATGGTTCTGATTTTAAAATAAGGTAAGTAGCATTAATGTAAGCAAGTGAATTTGTGCTATGTAAGCTCCTGAAACTGAAGAGGCATCAAAAACAAGCTATCAAATACTTTATAATCAAGTTCTAACTTTTTTTGTGAAACAATAACCAGTTTAATGTAAGTATGTTAAAAAATGCAGTTCACAAATAGAGCAGCAGCACTTTACAACTACCTTATTCTCAGCCTCATGGCCTGCACATGAACATTTTAACTCATATCCAGTTTTGTTCCAACTGTAGTTTCTCCTTCTGTTAAAAAATGAATCTCAGTGCATTCTCACTTATTTGAGTTCATATATAGATGTTTATTCAGAAGTTGTAATGAATGCTCCTCCACTAGTCTTTCCTTCTACTCAATCTTTCCTGATTTTTTAAATTTTTTTAGAATTTTCTTAGCATAACTACAATGAGGTTGTGTATATATATGTGTCTGTATACACATATAATGTACCTACATCTAACCTATCCCCATCTCTCTCTCTTATCTCCATTCCCAGCTATGAAAAAGAATTTCAACAGCTTTCACTGTTCTATTTATACACATTTATAAAATTTTACCACCCTATACCTTTTGCATTGATATTTTGATATCCTCTACACTATAGCCTCTGCATTAACATTTTGATATTGCATTTTGCTTGTACTTGTCCTACATCATGTAGTCTAAATTTCCTTCATTTATATTTTTATAATATAATAATTATACAAAAGAGTTTTATCATAGCAATTCATAAATGTGTATATTATAATTTACTCAGATTAACCTCAGGTAGTACTCTCTCTTCTCCATTTTTCCTTTTTTCCATTATGTTCAAATGTTTTTTTAGTGTTATCATTAAATGAGGCACTTATATCATTTTTGCACATTTTAATATCCAGTGTGTTTCCTTGGTAAGTGTTATGCCACCTGCCAGACTTTTGGGCTGCACCTCTCTATTGTTAAGATTCATTGAACAGCACTATGCACCACATCTAACTGTCAATATTTTACTTGTAGGCTGAGTCTAAAAGTAGTAACCATTTGAGTATGAAAACTACTCATGAGATTTAGATGTCTAGGTTAATAGAACTTTATTTTACTGTAGCAAACCCGATATGATTTCTGTTTCATTTCAGAATTGACTTACACCTCCAGCCCCACAAATTTAAAAATTACTTAGATTTCTGCCATATTTAATTGATTTTATATTTTGATCATGGTTTATTACATATTAAAATACTAAATTCCAAATTATTCCTGTATTCCTCCTTTTTAATTTTTTTATTTGTTCTTCCCTTAGTTCTTTCAAAAATAAATATATGTTGGCACTACTATTTTCCTAATATATGTTAGATTTATCATCATTTTAGAAGTGACATAAATTTCTCCACTTTTCTTGCTCACAGAATATTTTGGAGATGATTAACTGTAGTAGTTTGGACCAGATGATGCACCTTTAATATTCATTCATTGCTTGGTTTAATGAAGTATTCCAAATGTTACATTTTAGTTTACACTTTATACTTCTGAATCCTCAGATCCTTTCCTCATAGTGAATCTAGAGCTTTTGGACATTCCTAAATTATAAGTCAAGTACTCTTAGTTTCCCATAAGAGGAGCATGTATAGAATTCCCATCCAAAATTAATTTTCCTTAGTATATGAAGTCATTGAATTATTGAGTACAATGTCCTTCGTTAATAATACAAACATTGCTGGTTGCCTGATAGTTTTACAGTATTTGTTTAGTCTTGTAATTTTTGTTTGATATGTGTTTTCATGTATTATTTATTTTATAAAATAAAAGGTAATATCTTACTTATGTGGAATCTAAAACTATCCTAGAAGTATGGTGACCTCCAGGGGACACTGAGGATGGGGGAGGGGAAAAAGAAGCTTGATAATAAACATAAAAACACAGTTGTATAGAAGGAATAATTTCTGGCCTTTGGCAGCATAATAAGGTGATATATTCCATAAAAAATTGCTATACATTTAATGAAGTAGTAGATGTAAGAGTTCAAAGTTTCCTAACTAAAAATATGGCTGATTGACTTAAAGAAATGTTACACTGGTTGTACTTTTAACAACTGGTCCCAAATTATCACATGCTACCCTGAAAATATGTATACTGATCATGTACCAATGAAACAAATTTTAAAAATGATTAATATAGCAAGTAAATGGCAATTGTATATTATCAATGTCTATATTTTCATATCAATATTTATTTCCTTATAAAATAAACATCAAATTATTTACAAAGTTACATTCTGAGTTTTCTTGTAAATATGACCAATATTTTTCAAAAACTTATTCTTCTATCTGATAATTAATGGATGTACTACATAGACACTTGAATATAAACTAATCAATATAAATATAAACTATTTCATGTACAATCCAAATTGTTACTCTTGAAAAGCTGTTCTATGTACTCTTGAAAAGCTGTTCTATGTGAGAAGGAGTTAGAATGTATTTTGTAGATGAATGGATCAAGAAAAAGTGATACACACACACACACACACACACACACACACACACACACACACACACACACACACTGGAACTCTATGCTACCATCAGAAGAATGGCATCACCACATTCTTAAAGAAAGACTTGGAAGTAAGTCATATTAAGTAAGAAAGCCAGACCTAAAGAAACAGTTTATAATGGTTTCCCTCATTTGTAAAATTAGTGTATGTCTAGGATAGTCCTGGCTGAGGATCACAATACCTCAATACGTATGTACATATGACCATAAAAAATGATGCTAATAGAAATGAACTCCAAGATATGAAAAGCAGAGGTTTTTTTCTTTTCTTGTCAGTCGTGGATCTTGAACTCTGGACCTTGGCACTGTCCTTGAGCTCATCAGCTCAAGGCTAGTGCTCTACCACTTGAGCCACAGCACCACTTCTGGTTTTCTAGTGGTTAATTGGAGATAAGAGTCTCATGGATGTTCCTGTCCAGGCTGGTTTTGAACCACAATTCTCAAATCTCAACCTCTTGAGTAGCTAGGAATTACAAAAGTGAGCCAATAGCACCTGGCTGTTTTTGCTTTTTATTACACTGTGTAAAATTATTTCTTTTTCTCTCATATTTTCCCCCTTGGTTTATCCCGTTGTCACTGTTTTTGATTTTGGTACCCTGTGTCTTGTATATACATTTATATGATTTGGGGGAAAGAAATAGTAATAACAAAATGGTGAGACAAAAGACAAAGGGTGAATCAGTGCAACAGTGATACTCACAGAATACCATCTTGGAAATGAACTTTACAACTTGGGGCAGAAGGGAGTTGGAGCGGGGACGTGGGAGCAAACGTGGAATGGGGGTCACAATACTCAACAGGAAATGTACTCATTACCTTACTTATATGACTGTAATGCCTCTGACATCACCCTTACAATAAAATAAAATTAAAATTAAAAAGAATAGGGTTCTAGTAACCAGAAAAAAGTTACTTTGCATATTGAAAAAAAAGTCCCAATCTAATTATTTTTAGTTTTCGAAAATGCAAACATATTTATAATTAGACATTCTAAATCATGAATAAAATGTAGAATTTAAAGATTGTGTTTGCTAAGATAATTTAACATTATTAAAAATATGTTCTCTCCATTCTTTGTAAACTGGCCTTGGTACTAAGGGTTATATTTGGAAGTAGATGTTTGTGCTTGTGAAGGTTCTTTTTTTTCTTTTTTTCCATCTTTTTTCCTCTTTCTTTCTTTCTTTCTTTCTTTCTTTCTTTCTTTCTTTCTTTCTTTCTTTCTTTCTTTCTTTCTTTCTTTCTTTCTTTCTTTCTTTCTTTCCTTTTCTTTCGTTGCTCTGACCACCTGGCTAATTTGTAAGTTCAGCAATTCATGAATTTTACCAGATAATTTAATTAAAGTTATTTCTGAGTTGGTTTTCAGGATTTTCTTCTTCAAACAAAATATAGACTAGCATAATATTAAAAGAGTGTACATGAAGGAAAAAAACAACTAAATTTTTTGACATTCTAATAGACCAACTGTATTTTGTGACAACTTGTATCAGCCATGGGGCTGGAATTCTGGGCCAGGGCGCTGTCCCTGAGCCCTTCAGCTCAAGGCTAGCGCTCTACCACTTGAGCCACAGCACCACTTCCAGCTTTCTAGTCTTTAATTGGAGATAAGAGTCTTATGGACTTTCCGGCCTGGCATCTTAGCCTCCTGAGTAGCTAGGATTACAGGTGTGAGCCACCGGTGCCTGGCTTTATCAATAGCTTTTTCTTCAGAGATATTGTAACTAGAAGCACAGCTTCTGTTTGCTACTACAGAATAACAAATATTCTGTATTATTGGTTTTAGTGATGATATTTTGCAACTGTAAATGGAGAATAATAGCAAATTTATAGGGATGTTGCAAATTTTAAAGAGATAATTATTTTAAGTACTTACCTGAGAATTTGAGCCCAAAATGTTATCAAGTGGGTAGATGATTAATCTGAATTTGTCAGAGGACTAAGTATGACATGGAGTGATTTACAAATCTCCTGTAGATGCTTAATTAATTATCATATGTGCTGAGTTTTTCTCTAAAGCATTCATAATGTTTACAATTGCAAACTCAATCTCTATTGTTATAACTGTTATAATTATTTAAGGTTTTCCTTATGCTATACTAACACTCTCCAACCATTTTTGACTAGGTGCCTCCCTGTCTCTTATCAAAGATAAATTTTATTCATCCACTTTTCCTTGAATTTGATCTTTCTTTGGATGAGAGTTACTTGCTTTAACTGATAATATCTTGTGCAAAAGGCAGGTAAAAACCAAAGCTTAAGCCTTAAGACATTATACAGGTTTTAATATTTGGAAACATCAAGTTGTGAAAGCCAACTCTATCCTAAAGGAGGATGAGAACCATCAGAAGGAATGCCAAACAAACTGTGTGCGCAGTTTCCTTGGGGACTCCCTTCACTGTTCGGGGACTGCAGCTATCTGAGTGATTCCAAGAGTACTGTGGGTCAGAACTGATTAGAGTTTTGAACACAGAATTGTTTAATAAATTATTGCTTTAAGTGACTAAGGTTTAGGATGAATAAAAATAAAAATAAAAACCAACAATGGTCAGTGAATGCTCTGCCATTGTAACAGCCGTCCTGACCAGCAATCAATCACCTTCTTTAGGATTTAAGCAGGACCAAAGGAAATGGAGCTTTCTGTCTTAACACAAATTTTCAAACTACAATGTTTTCTGAAAGGATAATTTGAGAGGACAGTTTTAGCTGTGTTTTAGATAGTTCCAAATGGCAAGTGGAAAACTTTACTCTTAAGAACATCTTGGTAAATACAATGCAGTGAAAACTGTCTTTATTTTGCTTCTCCAGGACCTTCCGCCAAAAGAAAAGAGAGAAACAACCTCCAATTGCAACCTAATCGCTAATTCCCTGTAATAATTTTCAGACTGGTTTTTTTTTTTGTTTTTTTTTTTTATTTTTTTTATTGTAAAGATACTATACAGAGGGTTACAGTTACATGAGTGAGGTAATGAGTACACTTCCTCTTGAACATTGTTACCCCCTCCATTGTTTTCCCCCTACCACCCCTTCCCTCCCTACCTTCCCCAAGGTTCTTTTTTTTTTTTATTGTGATTAAGTGATTACATAATTTCTGGAATTTCACAGTATTGTGGAATAATGATGCTCATTTAAAGTCACAAGTTCATTCTAACTTTCCTGGAGCAAATTGTCTATCACAGTTTATAACATATAATGGTGTTCACATGTTATACACCATACATGTGATCAGCAGCATGGGGATATTTAGTAGTGGTTCCACCAGATGAGTGGGAGTTCTTTGTTTCTTAAGTCCTGTTAGTTTTGTCGTATCACCTAACATTTTGGATTTAGCATCCACTTATCAGGGAGACCATGTACCATTTGTCTCTTTGCTCTTGGCTTACCTCGCTCAACATGATTGCTTCTAGCTCCATCCATTTCCCTGCAAATGCCATTATTTTGTCATTTCTAATGGCTGCATAATACTCCATTGTGTATAGATACCACAATTTTTGGATCCATTCATCTGTGGTGGGGCATCTGGGTTGTTTCCATATCCTAGCTATTGTGAACAGTGCTGCAATAAACATGGAGGTGCACGTGTCAGACTGGTTTTTAAATGTGGAGATTCCTGAAACAAATCTGCAGAAGGTGCTGGCAGTGGAGATATTTTACCACTTCACTTAACTAACAGAAGAAAACCATGAATACAAAAGAAAGGAAAGTTTTGCTCTGCAAGTATTTAAAAATATAATGGAGATATAAAGAGAAATGGGAGATTGGGATCCCCATATCATGGGCATAGGTGTGATGAAGGCTGGAACACAATTACATTAAATAGCGACCTAACTAGCCAAGTAAAGTGTCATAGGCACTGTCATATGTCAACAGTTAAATAGGACACCTTACTTCCTGAAAAATCATCAGATTACTTTCCTAATGATTTGGGAGTAAACAATCCAGACTATTGAAAGCAAATGTTGCAGATACGAAGAAAGTAGCCTAGAACTATACACCTAAATACGCTCTTGCAGACTCAACTAGGGATTCACACCTCAGTTTTTATTGAACCATTGACATATATAATGACCCTGAAAATGGAGAAATTGTAATTACAAACAAATTAGCCTAAGGCAAATGTACAGATGCATAAGTTTCTTCTTATTTAATTAATTTACTACCTAGTTAATTAATTTTTGGTGTAGGTCCTAGGGCATGAACTCAGGGTCTAGGCGTTCAAGGGTAGCGTTCTACCACTTGAGCCACAGTTCCACCTCTGGATTGATTGGTACTTAGAGATGAGTCTGAAGAACTTCCCTTCCTGGGCTGGCTCCGAATCACAATCTCATATTCCAGCTTTCAGAGTAGCTAGGGTTACAGGTGTGAGCCACCAGCATTTGGCTTCTTATTTTATACTTAATCTTTGTTGTATTTTTTCTTTCATTTCTCTCTTTTTTTTACTTTCCCTCTCTTTCTTCTCTTCTTTCTTTTTTGCTTCTGTTGGAAATGGCAATATCTATATACCTATCTATTAAATATCCATCTGCCTATCTAATGTATATATACAAACACATTCACACACACACAGAAAGCAAAAAAAAGCCCAACAAAACCCTAATATTACTGATATTCTGCTAATAAAAAATTGAAACAGTATAAAATTAAAAGAGGTTAAGAAGGATATAGATAATTTTTAGAAATGGAATAAAACATACTATCTTAAGTAGCAGAAAGAATAAAAACAGTTTTAAGAAGAACATACAAATGACCCACAGGGTACATAAATGGATACTAGACATTGATTGTATAAAAATGCAAATCAAAGATACAATGTAATCACTTCAAGCCTGTTAGAGGGGATGCTACTTAAAAACAAAACCTAACAAGTATCAATAAGGATGTATCAATAAAACACTAGTTCAACAGCTATGTGCAAATGATTATATAAATGATGCTTATTGAAATAGACTCCAAGAAATGGAAACAAGAGTTGCTTTTATTTTTATAATATTTTTTAAGCTACTACTGAAGATGTAAACTATGAAGGGAAGCAGTATGGAGAGTTTCCACATTTTTAATAAGATTTTTATTGTGAACATACTGTACAGAGGGGTTACAGTTACATGAGCAAGGTAATGAGTACATTTCTTATCAAGCATTGTTGCCTCCTCCTTTGTTTTTCCCCTACCATCCCTTCCCTCCCACCTCCACAACTACACTCCGCCCCTCCCCCCTCCCTCCTTCCCCCGCCCCCCCCCCCCCCCCCCCCCCGCCCCCACGATCCTGGCCAAAATTGTAAAGATCGTTTTTTGACATAGTGTCTTGTACATCTCATTGTTACAGTAAGTAGAGCTACTATACAGTCCATATATCCCTCTTCTGGGTATGTGTGCAAAAAAGAAAAAAAAAAAACAGAAGCAAGAGTCATGAAACCAACTGTACTCCCATATTTCTTGCAACAGTAGTCCCAATTCCAAAGATATGGAAACAATTTTCTTGCTTATTATCTGATGAATGTAGAAATAAAATATAGTTGACAGAAAATAGAATATTACTCTTCTTTTCATAAAGAAGAAAATTTGACCATGGATGAACTTAGGATATATTTTTAAGTGACATCTGCAGTCTCAGAAAGAGAAAATGTATTTCTTATGTTAGAGGACTGTTCTGAGGA